TGTTTTTGTATGATTTCTAGTTGTGAATTTATTTTGGCATTTTGTTCCGACATTATTTTCCTGAATTCTTCCATTTTTTTGGTCTGTATTTTCCACGAATTTGTCTATTTTTTCAGTTTTGTCTGCTTTTTGCTTCATCTCTTGGATTGCTGTGAATCTTAGAGATTTGAATTCTCTATCAGTAGTTCTGGTGCCTTTTGTTCTACTGGGAAATCATCTGGTGTTTTACTTTGGATGCCTATTAGAACCATCCTGTCCTATTTTTGTAAATGTTTTGATATTGTCTGCTGTCTTCGGGGCATTGGGTAGTTATTTTTGTCATTTATTGATTGTCAATTTGTTTGTTTTGTCCTGCTTTTTTGTTTCATTTGGCTATGTCTGAGCAGGCGGGCTGTGTGTTCTTTGTTGCTTGTCTGTCTGTGGGCATGATACTTTTTGCCTCCTCCAGTTGGCAGGATCAGTTGCTCAGATATGGTACAGCAGGGCAGGTCTAGCTGAAGAGGAGTTGCTGGGATGGGTTGTTTGTGGCACTTACTACGGCCACCAGGGCGAGCCAGTAATCAGTGCAGGGCAGGTTCCGGTAGGCCGTGCCTGGGCTGCTTGGTGGCGTGATGTTCAGTGCACAGTGCAGGTAGGCAGGATGGAGGGGGGAGACTGTGATGTGTGGAGCTAAGACGGGTATGGGAGAGAGGAACAGGAGCCAAAAACATACAAACAAAAAAGAGTGCTAAGGGAGCTTGCCTTTGGAGCGGAGAGATGAGAGACTGTGAAATGGAGACAATCAAAAAGAAGAAGAAAGAAAAGAAAAAAATGAATAAATAAAAATTAGAAGAAAAGCAAAGCTCCCAGGGATCCCTCCAGTGCAGCTGCGAGGTCTGGTGAGGTTGCTTCCAGGCTGTGAAATACAGCCTGGCTAGAAGGGGTAGAGGTATCACTCAGCGCCAGGTATTCAGGGGACAGGAAGAGACGGAAAGTACAGAGAGACGAGAAACTGAGTAATGAAGAAAGACAAAAAGGGAAAAGAAAACAAACAAGTAAAAAATAAAAAGAACAAGAAAAACAGAAAAAAGAAGCCCCCCAAAAAAGCAAGAAAAATGCCCCCAGGGATCCCTCTGCGTGTGTGCGCAAACCGAGGGTGTAGGTCCCAAGCCGCACAGTACTGCCTGGCTAGAACGGGCTCCCAATTCGAGAAAAGAAAAATAAAACAAACAATTCAAAACAAACAAAAAAAAGCCCTGGGATCCCACCAGTGTGGCAGCACAGGCTAGGAGGCAGTTTCACATTCTAATGGTGTTTCACAGCCTTTCAGGAAAAAGCAAAGATGGCACATGGAGCCAGGTATTTGAGAGAAAGGAGGGGGAGGTAGTGAGAAGTACGGAAGAAATCTAAAGAAGCAGAAAAAAGCAACACCAGCAGCCAACAAATGGCACGTAGGGAGCCGGCCAGTATGAGTGGGTGGAACTCAAGTGACACCGGTGTGAAGCTGGTGCTTCCCAGCCAAGACACTGGCCGCAGGAAGCAGAGGAGGCCAATGGGGGTGAAGAAGATGGAGGGTGGGAAAGTGTATATCGCTGGTTACCAGTTGTTCTGTCTTCTGCTGGAAGCTCCGTGAAGCTGCTTTCTCGTACCCCCTGTTCACTGATCTCTGATACGAGTCCAAGATGGCGGATCTGTGCTGCGTTAGGTGATGGGGGACCTCTGCATGTATCTCTCCTCACTCTCTGTCTCTTATTCCAGTCGATGCTTGGCTGAGTTCTTTATCTCTTCATTTGATGCTTAGGGTTTCAGGATTGCTGTTTTCTCTGGCTTAGTTTTTCAGATCTTTGCTGTGGAGGGATAGCTTGGTGCTTCTGCTTATAGCGTCATGTTGCCTGGCCCTGAGATGTTTTTATCATGTTCTTCCATCCCTTGTATTTTCTCTAAATTAATTGATCTAGAGATTGATCAGATACAGGTTTGAATTCGGGGAGGGGTTGGTGGCTGCTGACTGAAAGGTTGGAAGTTTGAATCCACCTAGTGGCTCCATAGGAGGGAGAACTGGTGATTTACTCCTGTGAAGATTACAACCTAGGAAACCCTATGAGGCAGTTCTGCTCTGTCACATGGGGTCGCGATGAGTCGAAATTGACTCAGCACACCTAACAACAAGAAGAATGAGGGGTATGACTGCATTTTTAGTGGTGTTTGTTTTTACCAGGAAATATGTAGTGTTTGGTTAACTTCTTTTTGTGATGCTGTCAGCCAGTTGGAGTCCCTGGGTGGTACAGATTGTTCAACACTTGACTACTTGTCGAAAGGTTGGAAGTTTCAACCCACCCAGAGGTGCCTCGGAAGACAGGCCTGGAGATCTGCTTCCAAAAGGTCGCAGCCTTGAAAACCCTATGGTGCAGTTATGCTTTGCACACGTGGAGTTGTCTTGAGTTGGAATCGACCTAACAGCAGCTAACAGCAATATCAGCCAACTGGATGATTACAATGGTGAAATTCTATCATACTTTTTGTATTAGCTGTAATACTTGTATAAACCGCTTGGTTCTACTGAGGTACAGATATACAGTAAAAACAGGATAAATACTTCTTTTATTTACTAATTTTCGAAGTAATGAGTTGGTTTCTTAGCATTCTCAAGAGGTGAGTTTTGTTTTTGAATCATTTTGAACTCAAATATTTAAATATTAAATGTGTTTCTTCCGTTGTGCTTATTATCCTTTTGATGGTCATATTGTCCCAGTATTTCTTGGGTGGGAATCTATTCACGTTATTTCTTGCCTTTGCCTTTGTTATCCATGGAAGCAAGTACTGTCCTCCATCTTCTGGCATACTCTGCTCATTTAAAGCTCATTTGTCATTACAAAGAATGTATTTTTGTTTAGAAAAAATGAATTAGTTGTCGAAGATTGACTTCTTATTTCCATATACTTATCAGCAGAAGGCACAAGTACTTTATAGATTTTTGCTTGTATAAGTACTAACACCTGTTCTAAGTATGATTTTAAGAATCTTTCTTAATTAGCATCTTGTAGGCAAATGGTATTACCTACCATTTTCAGTTGTTCAAAGTACGGGTAGTCCCCGACTTGAGACGTATTCGAGTTACGTATTCCAAGTTAGGACAATCTGCACTTTTAACCAACTTTTTTTTTTCTTTGGCACATCTTATCGTTAGTAATATGTACTGTATACAGTGTTGCAGTGTGTAATTTGCTGATGTTACCATTCTCAGATGTTCACTTTCAGATGTTCAGTGTTAGGATTTACTGTTCAGAAACACTGCCGTATAACAAGCCGTGAAGTCTCAAAAAAATATTCAGCTTACATCAGAACTGATTTACGACAGAGTTGTTGGAATGGAACCCCGTCATAAGTCGATGACTACCTATAATGATCGAGAGGGGTGTTTGTTTTCAAAGGAAGTGGTCATATTTTTCTTGGTTATCTAGTATTAAATTCTTAAATGGGGGCTATTGTATATTTTATTATCAATGTATAATGTCTTCACCCTGGAAGATGATTGTAAATCTGAAGATAAACAGATTGTATCTGAAAGATGATTAGATGATTTATGAATCTAAAATGTTGGAAGAAACTATGTTATTTCCTCTTAACTGTCTTATACAGGTCTGTAAAAGATACTTCTTTTCAAGGGCTGTTAGGTTCTTGTTCTGGACCTGTCAGTACTGTGTGAGCTGGGCAAGTTATTTAGTCTTTCTTGTTCTCACTTCCTTTATATATGAAATGAGGACAACTTAAAATAACTGTAAAAACAGTCTTCAGCACATGAACAGAATGATTTGGTGTTTATAGTTTTAAAAGGTATAGAAAACGTGCATTTCTGTTATAAGTCCATGTATGCGTACATGTATGCATTCCTGAAGATGTTAGTATTCTGCAAGGTAACACTACCATAAACATGGATTTTGGAGAAAATAGAGCTGGTGTGGATCTCTCCAAACCTACAGGATTTTGTAATCAAAGCCCTTAGAAGAAAGAGAAACAGTCCTAATAGTAACTGTTGGTGCAGTTAAATCTGTATTGGCCTTTGTACCCAGAATCATGGTTTAATTGTGTTTCCTCTTTCTAGATGTAGGTCCTCGAAGACTTTTGCTTTTAAGGTATTAGTTTCCCCAGAATTAAAAATATAATCCACTGGTGGCCATTTTCATCACTCCAAAAAAAAAAAAAAAATGAAGGGAAATACCTTCATCTTTTTGATTTGCATTTGCAACTTTCCCAGCCGGCTTAATTAACGTAGTAGAAATTATTGATGTTCTTGAAACACTAAAACAAGCATTTTGTGTACTAAAGGAATACACTTAGATGCTGGACTTTTAAGCTTTTTTCTTAAGGTCTTCATATGTTGCAAAGGCTTTCTACTTCAGTTGTGAGAAAGCCACTTCAAAGCATAAACATGCTGGAAAAAATTGCGAATAACTGATATGACTTCCATGTTATACAGAGATAATTGTGTTAGTTATTGTGATTTAATTTTATATCCTTATCATTATTGGCTTCTCGCCACCCCCCCCCCCAAGTCTTTGCCAGTTTGATGAATGTCAAATGATTTTTTGTGGTTTTGATTTTTATTTTCCTTATTAGTAGTGATGTTGAATATTTTTTCTTATTTCATCATAGACTTTTAGAGGCAGGAGAAAGATTAGATGTTACTTACTGTAGTTTCTTCTTTTACTCATTACTTAAAAGACCCAAAGAGAGTAATGTCTCATATCGAGGTATGAAACTAAGATTAGAAGTCTAGTGAGGCACCTTTTCCAGCAAAGCTTCCCCCTACTTAAAATCGATAATTTTCCTATATACTAGAAAATATATTTTCATTATAATAAAGAAAAAGGAAGTATAGCAAACTTAATATGAAAGTACTCAAACCGTGAAGCCCTGAGTAAATTTCCCAGTGACCTGCAGACTTTCCAGTATAAATATTAGTATGACAAATCAGTTGTGTACTAGGAATAATATATTGACATGTCTCTTTTTCTTTCCAGTGAACTTGAAGATGACCTACTTGGAGAAGATCTGCTATCTGGCAAAAAGGTAAGAAGTATAGGTCTTCTTGAAACTAGCAGTTATTTAGTTGTACTTAAAATCTAGGAGTACATCACTTATGCGTGGGATGTGCTATTAGAAAGTTGGGTGTAGGTTAAAATTTTGAGAATTGAATTATTTTTTATTTTATTTTTCGTTTATGTAAAACATTTTAATTACTTTTTTTGTTTATTTTACTACATTTTTATGGTTATTTCCTTAGTAATTGTCCTGGGGATTTCAGTTAGCATCTTAAAATTAAATAATCTATTTCTGATTAATACAGCTTAATTTCAATATTATACAACATCTTTGTCCCATTATAGCTCTGATTCCTCCCCTTTCTTTATACTACTACATATTTATACATTCTAAGCCCATTAACGCAGTTTTAAAATCATTGCTTTATGTATGTACTTGCCTTTTAAAACAGAATGAGAAAAGTGATGCTAACAAAAATGCATTAAACTGTGCTTTACGTTTACCTGTGTATTTACTTTTACTGGTTCTCTTTATTTCTTTGTGTTGATTTGAGTTACCTTCTAGTGTTCTTTTACTTCAGCCTGAAATATTGCCTTTACTATTTCTTGTAGAGAAGACCTGCTAGCAACAAATTCTGTCAGTTTTTGTTTATCTGGAAATGTCTTAATTTCTTCTTCGTTTTTGAAGATGAGTTTTACAAGCTATGGAATTCTTGGCTGACAACCTTTTTCTTTCAAAGCTGAAAATATATCATGCCATCGTTTTCAGGACTCCCTGGTTTCTGATGAGAAGTCAGCTGTTAATCTTATTAAAGATCCCTTGTTCATAATAATTCTTACCATTTTTTTCTTGCTACTTTTTACTTGCTACTTTTCTCTTTGTCTTAGATTTTTATCAGTTTGAGTGTGATGTTTCTAGGTGTGGATCACTTTGGGTTTATTCTACATGGAATTTTTTGCACTATTTGGATCTGTAGATTAAGGTTTTGTTATTGTTGTTCGTTTTATCAAAGCTTAAAGTTTTCAGCCATTATTTCTTCAAATAAGTTTTCTGCCCCATTTATTTCTCTTCTCTTTTTCTGGGACTCCCATTGTGTGTATGTCAGTATGTCAGTAGTCTCTGAGGCTCTGTTAATTTTTCTGCATTCTTTTTTTTTTTTTTTTTGTGCCCCCAAGATTGAATAACCTGTATTGAGCTTTCTTCAAGTTTACTGATTCTTCTGCCACATCAATTTTTTTTTTTAAATTGTGCCTTAGGTGAAAGTTTATAGCGCAAGTTAATTTCTTATATGAATTATTTTTTAACTGCACAAAGAACTGACTGTTTACTAGTAAATCCTCTGATAAGTTAAAACTCACGTAATAAATCCTTTTAAGGAATGGCACACTGGTTAAGAGCTACAGCTGATAACCCAAAAGGTCAGCAGTTCAAATCTACCAGCCACTTGTTGGAAACCCTATGGGGGCAGTTCTGCTCTGTCCTATACAGTTGCTATGAATTGGAATCGACTCAACGGCAGTGGGCTTGGTTTGGGCTCTTTCCTAGGTGCTAAAGTTGTATTGGGCCTGTAACAGCAGTGACATAAAACTACCCCTTGTCCTAAAGGAACTTTATATTTGAAGGTTAATATTTTTGCATAACATCTGAATTCACTTTTGGGGCATAACCAGAGATATGCTTAAAGATAAACATTTTCAAATGTAACAGACATCCAGATAAACAGGATTAAAAGAGTAAAACCTAAGGAAGATTTTTCTAAACCTTTTTGATCAAGTAAAAACTTTTAAACATTTCTCTAATATGTCTGTTCATATATCATACATATACACACACACCCCCACTCTACCAATATATTTGAACATTAGAAAACATTAAAAATAGAAATAATAGAAAGATAAAAGGGGAATATTACATTTTTATTTTATTTATTAACAATTTAAGGGCACTAATTCTCATCAAATATCAAGATAGTTCTTTGTGCTTTATTTTTAAAACCTTAAAATTGTGATGACATTTTACTGTCAGTGATTTTTATATTCAAGCTCATACTTTTAGGTCAAGTTTTATCAGTAACAGTGACATAAAGCTTTATTTCAAAGAGTCGTGAGAGGTTCAAGTCTTTTGTCTGATATATATTTTTTAATCAAATCTGATTAGATTGTTTTTTTAATCTAGGTTATAAGAGACCTGATGAAGATCTCGAGCTAGAAGTACTAGTTCTGCCATTTCCTTGTAACTTATTATGTATTATTAGCATTTTATCTAATACATGAATTTCTTTGTGGGATTCTTTTTAAACCACTTTTCCTTTCTGTGGAAACCCAGGTGGCATAGTGGTTAAGTGCTATGGCTGCTAACCAAAAGGTCGGCAGTTAGAACCTCCACCAGGTGCTCCTTGGAAACTCTATGGGGCAGTTCTACTCTGTCCTGTAGGGTTGCTGTGAGTCGGAATCGACTCGATGGCAACAGGTTTGGTTTCGTTTTTTGTTTCCTTTCTGTATTCTGCTATTTATTGTATCATAGGCCTACAGCTTCCCCTAACTTACCTTCCTTTAATGTATCATAGGCCTACAGCTTCCCCTAACTTACCTTCCTTTAAATGGCTCTGTCTTCACCTATAAGAATTAGTTTGTTGTTGTTAGCTGCCATCAAGTCGGACCCTGGCTGATGGCAGCTCCATGCACAACCAGGATTGAATCATTGTAATGTGTAGGATTTTCATTGGCTGATTTTCAGAATAGATGGCTAAGCCTTTCTTCTTAGTCTGTTTTAGCCTGGAGGCTCTGCTGTCATCTCTTCAGCATCATAACGACACACAAGGCTTCACTTGCAGATAGGTGGTGGCTGCACTAGAGGTATATTGGCCCGGAATTGAACCTGGTTCTCTCGCATGGAAGTTGACATTTCTACCACTGAATCACCACTGCCCCCAGAATAAGTTGCCTGTAAATCCACTTGTTTGGTATAAATAAACTGGGATTCATAAAAAGAAAGTGAAAAACTAGTGAGAGTACTTCTAACACCCCCTCCCCCCCCATGTTGCCTCTGGATGCCTCATGTATGGCTTGCAGCACAGGACCATCTCGACCAACTGATGGGTGCAACGAGTGAGGGTGCCAGTATCATGTTGTGAACATGAGCTTCTTTGTCAGTCAGTTAATTATTTTGCACATCCCTTGAAATGCTCCTACTTTTTCCTTTGTGTTTATTTAAGGTGCTTGTCTTGATTATCTAATGCTACTATAACAGAAATACCACAAGTGGATGGCTTTAACCAACAGAATTTTATTCTCTCACAGTCTAGGAGGCTAGAAGTCCAAATTCAGGTTGCCAGCTCCACGGGAACGCTTTCTGTCTCTATCAGCACTGGGGGAAGGTGGTTGTCATCAATCCTCCCCTGGTCTAGGAGCTTCTCAGCACAGGGACCCCAGCCCTTCTTTCTTGGTGGTAGGAGATCCCTCTCCTCTCTGCTTGATTCTCTCATATTTCAAAAGAGATGGACTCAAGATACAACCTAATCTTGTAAATTGAGTCCTGTCTTATTAACATAGCTGCCTCTAATCCTGCCTCATTAACATCATAGAGTTTAGGATTTGCAACACATAGGATAATCGCATCAGATCACAAAATGGTGGATAACCACACAGTATTGGGAATCATGGCCTAGCCAAGTTGATGCACATTTTTAGGGCACACAATTTAATCCATAACAGTGCTTTAATGAAAGATACCAGGTATATGTTAAAATATTTAAATGTAGTAAAATATTTTTATGTTAAGTTGGATTTATAGTTTTAGACAAGCCTGAGATATCACATTTTACCTTGTATTTCTTTTCAAGGAGTTCTAGTGTAATAATTGTTAGCAGTAATAGTTCTGTTTTGTATATATATATATATATGTCCTAGTCTTGTAAAAGTTTTGGTCAGGACTCTGTCAATAGAGATGGAAAAATAATGTGTTTTGGAAAGTTTCCTAGTTTCTTTATTATTTTTAAAGATACCTCTTATTTTTCTCATTCAAAAATTTATACACAAATTGTTTTGTGACATTGATTTCATTCCCTGCTTCGTGTCAGCACTTTCCCCCTTTCCCTTTACACCCCAGGTTCTCTGAGTCCGTTCGTCCAGTTTTCCTGTCCCTTCCTGCTTTCATGGCATTGTATTTGGACAGGTGTAACCCATTTGGTCTCATATACCTGATTGAACTAAGAAGCATATTCCTCAGAGTGTTATTGTTTGTTTTATAGGCCTGTCTAATTTTGGCTGAAAGGTGGACTTTAGGAGTGGCTTCAGTTCTGAGTTAGTGGGGTGTCCGGGGGCCATAGTCTTGGGGGTTCTCCAATCTCTGTCAGACCAGTAAGTCTGGTCTTTTTTTGTGAATTTGAATTTTGTTCTATGTTTTTCTCCCACTCTGTCCAGGCCCCTCTATAGTGATCCCTGCCAGAGGGGTCGGTGGTGTAGCCGGGCACCATCTAGTTCTTCTGGGCTCAGGCTGGTGGAGGCTGTGGTTCATGTGGTCCATTAGTCCTTTGGGCTAACATTTTCCTTGTATTTGGTTTTCTTCATTCTCGTTTGTTCCGAACATGATGGGACCAATAGATGTATTTTAGATGGCCATTCTAAAACTTTTAAGACCCCAGTCGCTACTCACCAAAGTACTTTATGAACTTTGTTATGCCACTTGACCTAGATGTCCCCCGAGACCATGGTCCCAAGCCCTCAGCTTCAGTAACTTGGTCCCTCGAGGTATTTGGATGTGTCTAGGAAGCTTCTGTGGCTTTGCCGTGGTCAAGTTGTGCTGACTTCCCTTATATTGTGCATTGTCTTTCCCTTCACTAAAGTTAACACTTGTCTGCTATCTGGCTAGTGATTTCTGTTCCCCACTCCTCCCCGTCTTCGTAACCATCAAAGATTGTTTTTTTCTGTGTGTAACTTTTTTCTTGTTTTTTTTTTTGGCTAGTGATTTCTCTTCCCCACCCCTCCCCATCTTCGTAACCATCAAAGATTGTTTTTTTCTGTGTGTAA